TGAAAGCCCTGAATCAAAGTGTTACGTTTGCTTTAAGAAGCCATATGGCTGCTTAGAGAGAGCCATCTTTGTTGTTTGTCTCCTTATCATGGAATAAATAGTAAAATGTAAAAATAGTGTTGACTCTACAGCATCGCATGGCTCTGTGGTACTTTGCTCGCAATCGCTACGAGAGAGCCAATATTTTATCTGCTTCGTATAGCATATTTATCTGCACAAGAGAATCCACAGCTTCTTGCAAGCTAGTTATATGATGTTTACACATTGACCTAGTTCTTTTATGGGGGCTATGAAATGAGACCGCACTTCTGATACAGTTGCTAGCGGGAAACAGCGAACTTAGGTAAGGTTAGTGTCTCGGTTCATCCATCCTTATTTGGTTTAACCTCCCTTGATTAACCTTTCAACAAAAGTTCATTGTATCCCACGTGAAAGGTGTAGGCTGGTTTCTGAGAAAATCTTCTGAAGGCGAAATACTACTACAAAATTTCATTCAGTTTCGATTAGGATGTACCAAATTGTGTCAGATTCTGTCCGTTATTTTTTGAGATTAAACGTGTAGGCGGACGTCTGCATTGACTTCGTACGAAAGTATGTATTATTATTATTATTATTATTATTATTATTATTTTGTTACAGAACTCGGTCGCTTGACGTCTTGAACACAAACCTCGTTTTGCTCTCCGCTGACCTCTGTCCGCGTTCAGGCGTCAGCCTAAAACAATGCCGATGCCAGTGGCCCCTAGTCCGAGATCACAGGAATGCGATGAGACGCTGGGGCTTTGACCTCAGTTGCTTTGCGCTCGTTTGCTTAAAATATTTAAAGCGTTACTGCTTTGTGCTCGTAGGCCTGCATCTGGTCCACTAGTCTATTCCCAGCGCACTTAAAGCAAAGGCATCGTAAATTATTCCCAAAACCTTTTTTTTTCTTTTGATGTGATAACAGCTCCTTGTAAGTAATGAAGTTAAATATTCGAAACCCGTTGGTAATTATAGGTCTATGTATCACATACTTTGACATTCAGTAACATTTAGCCCACATAGTGTATTCATGGGTTTCTTATGATTCTCAGAGTGATGGAGGTATGTGTTTTCTTGGGGTAAAAACTGAATCCTTAAATATTGTTTAGACAATCTGACATAACCCCACTGCGTGTCGTGATCCACTGGTTGAGGAACAGTAGCTACAACAGAGAGTGACGTTTTAATTCCAAATAGAAAGTGGCAGGGGAAATCTCTCTTCACTCTTCCACGGCGGTAGCAAGGATTGTCTCAGTTGAACCACTCTCGCAACAAAAGTAAGATGAATTTAATTATTTCAGCTGGAAGCATGAACTTAAAACTGTTTTCTACTAGCTGCCGCCGAGTGCCTCGGCCCATCGAGGTTTTGTTTCCTATCTGAGCGTGCAGTCACTGCACAGAGGCCAGAGCTGTTGGCTGGTCCTCGTGTTCTTTGTGCACACCCGCTAGAAATCTTAAGTGCGAGTTTATGTCTGTCGCGATAATGAGGCTGACTGCTCTTCAGATAATTACAGATTAAGTAACTTCAAGGAGCAGAGTACATTGGGAGCTAACAGTCGATCAGATGTTCAACAATTTTATATCATTTTTTTTGAAATCGGAGGTTCATTATCGTGTTCACAGGAGGTAGCCACTGGTACCTGTTCAGAGCCAGATGAATTTAGTCCATGCCCTCAAAATATTTTCTTTAAGATTCATTTTAATATTATCGTACCGTCTGCGCCTTAGTCTTCCAAGTGTCTCGTCCCTTTAGGCTTTCCAACCAAAATTTTCTGTTTTACTCTAATTTGTTTTGTAAGTGCTACATGCCTCGTCTCTCATCTGTGTCTGGACATCGAAATCATATTTCGAGATTACAAATTGTGGAGCTCTTCATCATGAAATTTGTATTAGCCTCTCATCACTTCTAAACCAAAAGTAGACAACTATTTAAAACATCAAATAAAATCATCACTCAGTGGGACAAAACGTAATGGATTTTGAGAATTATAAATAAATTTGCTAAGAATTTATTAGCCACTGTTTTATTATGATTTTGTCCTGTAGTCTGGTGACGAGACGTGAATATATATACAGTTTTCTCTTCTTATATTTCTCGACCAACTTCCTTACTGTGAGATATTTGTTTTTTCACAGATGGTAAACATCTTGAGCTTAAACCAGAAGTCGGCGTGCCCCATCCAATGTAATACTGTATTACGGATTAGGCGGTCTAATCCGTTCCTACTCTAAATTAATTCTGGATCACCTCGACACGCTGTTAGTGTCTTATGAAGGAGAATCAAACAGTAGCAATGCCTCTGTTGTCACAAGACGACACAAAACACGCTGATTAGACGCTTCGGTCTGTCCCTACACCGAATTAATTCTGACATCCCGTTATCGAATCTTTACGCCATAGCAAGACCTACTATTCCTTTTCAACACAAAATACGCTGATGGACTTCTATTCCCCTCCCAGCGGGCATGTGAAATGTTTTTCAGTGTAGCATGAGACCTCGCGATGGATAGATTATTTTCAAAAACCGTACAGATTGCTTAAGAAACATTCACCTAGAATTCTGAATCAGAAGAGGTCAGAGGATGGCATCTCGTTGGGTCCTTGTGGCTCTGTGGAAGTTACGAGGTGCGATCGGAAAGTTTCAAGACTGTGTCAATAGAGGGCGAACCGGACGTAGTACGAGCTTCTGCCGCTAGGGGGTGCGGCCTACATTCATAGTGAATCAGTGTGCCAGCCGGCATCATCGAATTAGCATTTGTTTCTTAGTTACGGGCGTTTTGGTAGT